GATGAATTGCTGTTGCCATTTTAACTGTTTCATCGTCCAGGTAAGACAAGACATAATCGACATGTTTTGACGCTGGAATGCAGATATGCTGTAACTCGCAACTTCCGAATCGAATAATGTGACTAAGTTTCAACTCGTGGAAGTAGGTAAAGGTTTTGAACTGGGTGCTGCCTTGACCGGAATCACTGGCATTCGTCATGTTTTTCGTTGCTTTCTGCCGAAAACACCCCACCATTGGTTTTAACACGTAATTTCAACAATTATCGAAGGGCGGAAAAGACACCTAAAACCATAACACACATTGTTAACCAAGAACTTCACATCATGGTACAACTCGGAGTATCAGCCGCAGGACTCTATTTTTATAAATTAAATCTCTCAGCGTTTATACAAAAGGGAAGACTTATTTACAAACTAGTCTCATACGTCATCTTTCAAGTTCGGTTCACGCAGGGCTTGCTCTTCTACTTCCGAAGTGTTTATACTTGGTCTCTGCGCGACGGAAAGAGAAAAAGTCACATTATTAACGTCATACATAGTAATTTCAAGACTGCTACACATGCAACTGACTGAACTTGCGCCGGTCGTCTTATCGTACACTACAGACCTTCAGGAACTACAAATTTATGGGGAAATTATTACACATACATAGAAAGCCTGTATTTCTCGTCAAATATACATTTAACTGAACAGCCTATCAGAAAACATTTGTCATAAATACCAACATTTGTTTCGCCCATAAACTTTTCCGTCTCATTTGAGACTGATATTCGTCAGTTTTGTCGATGGTGTTAGTTGACAGAAGAGATTTTAATCATCTTCCGACCCTGGGACGTTTTTCAGAACTCTGAATTTTTTCGGGTCTCTAACCTACCTTTCTTCTTAACAGCCGTAGATTAGTGCTACAAACAAAGTGATGTGCGACTCTTATATTTGTATTGGAGTCGTTTGATTCTAGGAACCAAATTACAACAGCATGCGGTTAAGTTAAGCTTTTCCTGATATGCTTTGTCTGAATATAATCATCATTAGTAACTTTGCTCTAGCATTCTGTGTGCCAATATGAGACGACTGAAAAATTATCGACCAAAAATCTGGCGTTTTTAGATGCGATTTTTGTATCATCTTGATTTCTTTACTGCAGTATATTTACTATCACTCAGGCCTACTTGGAACGGTGCAGTCTTTTTGTGTCTCAAGTTATTATTTCATAGCGTGGACACCGAAGTTTACTTACATGCCAGTCTTCATTTATCTCCAGGGGAATTTTTATTTTACATGTTTCGAGGTTCGCTGTTTGGCATCTCCTGAAACTGGACGGATTATACTGGCACTTTACTTCACATAAGTTATCAGATCACTAAAACATCTACCATCAAGTTTTTTACTGATCACTGTCGGAAAGCCCATCGCCTCGAGGATCATTTATGTCCTACTCAAATAGGAAAATATTCAGAGACAGTAAGTTTTGAATTTCGAGCATCTTTGGTATGCAGTGGTTTATAAACGGGTACACATCTTCTGGAACTTTTTTTACAATAATTAAAACTTCATTCCTGCCACATCAAGACAAAAACTACTACGCTTACCAATTTAATAGTTACAATCAGTCATTGTAAGTTGTCTTGTTGATAAAAATATTAACAGAATGTGCAAATAAAAACAATATCAAAGATGAATCTGAACAAAATTACAGCACCTAACAAAAGAAATTCACGTTGAAGTAGACCATCATGTTACAGACCAGTCTCAGTTAATGATAAATAGTAATCGTGCTGTAATTTCCGATGTGCCTTTTATGTATTCTATGTTGAACCGTCAGTGGGTCCCCGAACTTGAATTCGCTACTGCTGACAGCTTTAGTTCATATTTTTTGACGAAGTTGAGTGGGTAGCCGTCCATAACGTTGTATAAAACACACGCCCTCACAACTTCCGGTTCTCGACGTTTTCTCACCCACCTCTCTGAAAGGGACAAATCTCTCGGTTCTAGAGCGAAGCCACGAAATGGTTGATAGGGTAAAAAATAAAACATACGAAGATAAACTTCAGGGCTGTGATAATTTTAGCTGAGTTACAGAAGAACCAGAGGTGATTTGGTTATGGCGTACAACACATTAGGCACACCAAAACATCAAAATATGAGCATCTTACCGATGCACCACCACTCTCCCAGAGGCATTCCCCGAAAAATTGCGCAGCGAAGAGAGAACAATTAGGCCCATGAACGCTTTTTCTCATGAGGAGTCGCTGAAACTAGGAATTGTCTCCCAGTCGAGGTGATCATAACCCCCCAGTAGACAGTTTTAAGAAGACTTGATAAACACGTACTCATATACGGATCATCATCCCCCTCTTGGACAGGCTGTGGCTGATGCATGCCATGAGACTTGTTAGCTGTTATTATTGTCATCTCCTCAGATGACCAACTTAATCTATCTACCTTATCATCTGTTTCCTTCCACTTGTCAACTTCTTGGTCCTCTCTCACAATCTTCTTTACCAACTAATAAACTAAATTATTTATTTATTTACCTAGTCCTGAAATCTTGCACTTATTAGCACCAGAATTTTCTCCTTTCAGTTCCAATATAATTTTAACTGGTCTCCGGTCTGACAACGTGAAAGCCGCTGGTATCAAGAAACTCTACTGCACTGAAACAAACGTAGTCAATCAAATCACGGGAAAAACTCACAAACAACTGTTAAATGGCTAAAATTAGTGCAGTCGAGTGGGTCAATCCCTATCCACTGGATACCGCCAGACGCCTTGATTCTCAGCGAAAGAACAAGAAATCAAGTAGTTTGTGCTAGCTTGTGAAAAAGATATTGGATATACATTCACTTACTCCCTGTTATCATGTTAAGTAATAAGGTCGCTAGCATATCTTACACTATAACAACCAAGAAAACCTGTACACGCGTAAACCCCGTGGTTAATAGTGAGTCAAAAATCCCAATTTTTTGAGAACGGCTTGTTAAATAACCCAAAATGTCAGTCGATCGTATCCGTCTCAGTGTCCATACTTTCGATCACTAACGCAAACACCAGAGAGGAAGCAAGACACCACTCCTATTCCTAAAAAGACCAGTATTCTTGTTAAGAATAGGAGAAAGAGACGTTCCAAGGCTCAGTCAACATAATCCAACGTCCAGAAACCGCATAAGGATGACTGTTTTGCCTGCTCATCACCAGTTAAAATCAGTGACTGTGCATTTGAATGCAACTTCTGTAGTACATGGGTACATTTTCACTGGGACAGATCAAACTCACTTATTTTATTTAATGTCCCATTATCGGAGGGAAGCTTGCTAGAAGGTAGGGCTGCTTTCGACAAAGAGCAGTGGGATAAACACTACACAACCCTTGGAATGTGCAACATCCTAACCAAAATGTGCCGCCTTTTCAAAGGCCAAACTGTCTCGATAGGAAAACCCCACCAATGAGGGTAACTCTTGATTCGGCACGACTTGCTGAAGACATCATCCTTTCATCCCAAAGACCATCGGTGAAAATGTCCTCGCCAATTCGCATCAGGTATGACGAGCCGTGGTTAGTGCGAGTGACAGCTAGGACTACGCCAGGCACTCTAGAGGCACGACGACATGATAGTTCACGGTGTACCCGAACTCGCTGACGGTAACCTGGACGAAGCTCACGAGCACAATGTGCAACAGTGGCGATCGCTATCGCTTAGCCTATCCTTTCACACCACGATGGCAGTATGCATTTCTAGGTTCCCCGCCCGTCACAACGTACGTCCATCTAGTCACACACCTGATGGCTGTGACATTTAGGAACCGGGAAGACCTGACCGAAGCACTCCAAGCTTGGTACAGTTCGAGGAACGATCTGTCTAGCCACATCAGGTGTTGCTAAAGCCGACCTAGATCTGTGAATTCGAACTATGTAGGGAACGCAGCCAAGGCAAATGACACTCTTCACATTATGCGAAGACGGCTTGGTGCTATCACCCCGCAATTATTTTTGACACTATTTAAGATGTACGCACAACCACACCTGGAGGTTCACAACGTCATCGCACCCCCTCTGCTTAAAACAGACATAAATCTCTTGGATCGAGTGCAGAGACGAGCAACCGAATGGGTGATAGGATTGAAAAATAAACCCTACGACGATAGACTACAGGATAATTTCCACTGAGCTACAGGAGAATCAGATGTGATCTGATTATGGCGTGCAACATATTAAACTCGCCTAACCATCCCAACGTCCGCAACATACCGATGCATCACCAACACTCTCCTCGAGGCAATCCCCGAAAGATCGCACATCAGAGAGCTAATACTCAGATTCGTGAACACTTTTTCTCATTGCGGGTCGTCGTAGCTTGGAATGCTCTCCCAATCGAGGTGACCAAACCCCTTGGTAGACAGCTTCAATACGAGACTTAATAATCACGTGCTCACATACGGACTATCATCTCCCTCTTGGACAACCTGTTCATAATCCATATCTTGAGACCGGCTAGTTGTTATGATTGCAATCTTCTCAGATCACTTACTTAACCTATCTCGCCACACATCTCCGTTCCCCTTCCCTTTTCTTACACTACGATCCGCTCTCATAATCTTCACAACCAATTAACAAAATAAATTCATCTATATATTGTTCAGTTCTGAAATTTTATTGATATTAACGTTAGAATTTTATCTTAATTATACTCATTATTCTGCATGTCGCAACTAACTGATCTCTAGTCTGGTAATGTGACGGCTGCTGGTATCCAGAAACCCTAATGCTCTGAAACAAACGTTTTCATTCAAATCCCGAGACATACAAACTCACAACCAACTGCCAACTGACTAGATTTAGACAGTTGAGTGGCTAGACCTCCATACATTTGACATTCCGAACACCTGAGGCGTACTGAAAGAACAAGAGTCGAGCGCAAAGAAATCAATCGGTTCACACTAGTTCCTGAAAAAGATATTGGATATTGAATATACCAATCACTATAACATTGGCTAAATAATACCGCCAGACATGAAGTGGTATGACAGAAGTCTCATTGAAGCTGTCCATACTCTAGTAGGTTAAAACACGAAAAATAAATCACAGGAATGGTCAGCGCTTATCAGCGACATTGAAAAACACATCGATGCTCAGAAACAAAAAACGAATCTCTTGGAAATGTCTGAAGATGAAATAAGTCTTCTGATAACAAATTTTTCCAAATTTATAGTTCCAGGTAAGTTTTGATGTTTCAAAAAAATCTTAAGTTTTAGTTTTGCCCTAAATACTTATGTAACTTCATAGGCAAGATAAATCATATTATTACTATGATATGGATAGAATTTTATGTTTATTGTGTAACCACATAATTGAAGGTTTTTCCTTATCTTCCATTTATTTCACAGTTCACACAAGATTTTCCTTGTTTATGATATCATCACTAATTTCCCGTCTAATTGGGCCATTATGGGTTTGTTTACACAAATCTACGATCTTAAAGTAGATAAAATAATTTTAACTGCTTTAATTTAACATCTGCAGTTATCTTACTTATATCAGGTCTTGTGGATATATCTTGCGATAACTTAAGTTGCCGTTTGACTCTAATTTGATATTGAAACAGTCATTTTGTCAGCTTTGCCTGAGGTCACTTTGAGGCGAAATCACCGTTTTGAAACAAAAATTAGTACCAACAGTTTGAAACACAAAACTCACTTCTTAGAACATGACTCTTAATTTAACTATTACACTTTTAATTTGTGTCATGAATTTTTTCATGTAAATATCCAAGTTTCAGTGAAATCATTCCTGCTTTTTCTTAGGACTTTCAGAATAATCTTGTTTCTGTTTCTGTCAGTTTCTCTAAACACCCGAATTCTACACGGTTACGTGAAAAGATATAATCCGTAATCTATTTGTTCATATTTTTCTGTTTTTATGAGATTGTTCTTATTATTTTGTTGATATATTCCCCATTAGTAATAAGCGTAAACTTCATATTAAAAATTGAGCTACCACTCATTTTTCATGTCTCATGTTCCTAAATTTGTATATATTATTCTTTTTGTCTAAAATTAGTCTACTGCAAATTAAACATTTGGTTAGGCTATTATTTCTATTGAATGAGCTCTGTTTTTGAGTGAAAAACGTGATCACTCAATGTTTTGCTAACTATTATTCTTTGAAAAAAACTGAAATAGTGCTAGGGAAAACGGGCAAAAACGCACAGAGCGGTAAAAACGAGATAGCGCCCGTGCAACAGTAAAAGGTGTAGTACTAAAAGTCTGGATAAACAAAAAGTTCAGTAAAACGACCACTCGTACAATCGGTTATAATAAGGAATGTTTCTCTTTAACCAATCGCGTTTCTTCGTGAAAGTGGAATCGCTGCAACGTTTATCAGTAATAAACTTTCAACACTTACATTTTGAGACATATTCGATTAAAATTAATAGATTCATCATCTTAAGAAGTGCATATTATCTAACTAATTATCTAAAGTATTTGTGAAATGCATAATCATTTAAATAACTTTTAACTCTAGAAAATACTATTCGGTGTTATTTACCCGATAAAATGCTTGTTCTGTGAATAATATTAGACTAGGATTACACGGAAAGCACCAATCATTTTTCTTATTATTTTTATTTATTAGTGAAGATCTCGGTAAGGCAGAAACACAAAGCTGATGCTGAAATTCTTCAAGTACTGTATACAGAGGATAAACGAGGAAGATGACTGGAATTTAGAGGAGACATATGAATATGAAACCAGTAGGCTGGATATTTAGTTTGAAAAAGACTTCTTGAGTATAACCAGGATGCATAAATGAGTTCTTTCGATTATTAGTGCTCGTTAAAACTGAAAAGGTTACCGTCACTGTCGAATAGCTACAAAATTATTTATTTTGGAGATGCTTCTGCTTCAATAACTTTAATAGATCATCCTTTAAACAATTTAGATAACCTGTTAAACTATGAATGCATATCATTGTATTGAAGTTCCGTGTGGGCTTGATAAACCACTTGCAGTTTCTACTCGTTTGCACTGTTTCCATCTTAATGTTGAAACTTTGAATTTAAACGAAGTTTAAGTCTACTTATGTCAATCAGTTCATTCGTTTTATGTCGTAATGATTTCTGTAAATTCTCTTCTCATGTAGTTGTTGATTATTTGAACTTTAAATGATAAACTTCTTCTCAAATGTCAACAGCGTTCTAATATTCACTTTAAAATAATGTCAACACAACTAAAAGAACAGTCTGCTGAGAAGCAAATTCCTTTTCAACAGCAAAGTGATTAGGGATATGAACCTTTAGGAATTCAATAGAAATACATTTTTATTTTATACTTTATAGAAAAATACTTGTAAATAAGGCTTATTATACGGCTATTGTTGTAAAGTATCAATTACTTCAAGCGAAACTTCAGATTTCATATTTTCCATCCATTTCATCGGAACTATATTAATGATAACTTACATTGTATTTAGCGGCATAACTCCTAAGTAATCAAAGTTGTATAATTATTCGAATTGTACATTTGAGAGTGATGAAATAATCTTTGGCAAACAGAAGTTTCCACTTAGTTACGTTATTAATTTATTTAGCAAAGTATCTTCGTCTATACTGATTTTAACATTACTACTGATTTACACATATATTATACAGAGATTCTGGTCCAATAACCAATATCCTTGATCTGTGTAATTATTAGAGCACAGCGATCGCCTTAAGGTCAGTTCAGTTAATCTTATTTAGTCTCATGAAATTCGATTATTTTAAAATCTTTGTTGATTCATAATCATAAATACTTCTGAAGAGATTTAAATATTTTAGTGACTGCGATCAATCGTTTTCTAGTTAGACTAGATAGATAGATACAACGCAGAACTTCGTACCGAAGCTGCTACCTTGACGTGGTGGTCAGGCTTGCCTATCGTGATCACCCAACCGAGCTATATTGGCTGGAACATATGTTCCTGAAGGTTCTACCATGCCAGGCAGGTCGATTGGAGAACGATGAGACTAAAAGTAGCTACCCAAGGTCTGAGGGCGAAGTCGTACAGCTGACTACAGAGGGCTGTGACAGCAGGAAGGTGTGTCCCGCGGACAACCAGCATCTGCAGCGACGCTGCCTTCCCAAAAAGAAGGAAGGGTTAGAAAAGGTCGCCCCTAAAAATGTCACACCTTACCCTAACTCACGGACTCCCGTCTCCTTGGGTAACGGTGCCCACTAAGGGCCTTTAAGAACGGAGCTAATCCCCAAAAAACGTTTCATAAAAAAGCCATGCATGACCGGCCCCAAGCAGTTGTCCCTTGGGCTCTGCGGTCACGCACCCAGGTCTCTAAGACCAGCACTAATCTATTTTCCTTTTCAGGTTCCTCAACAAACAACCTTCCATGGTGTGGGCAGCCGGGAAGTGACAACCGCTCTCATACCCGTAACAGCACACGTAGACTGGAGTAAAAGTGTAATAGATTTTACTAGAAACATTCAGATTTGATTAAGTTTTGACATTACATATATACCATTTCCTTTTTCGAATATTACTAGTAAAAATTAGCCGATAGTCATTATTTAAACTATATATTCCTTATCTTGTCACAGGAAATTATTATCTATTTTGAAGTATTCCTCTTACAGCTCCATTATTTTATCATACTTGTCTTTATTAATGATTGCTTTTCAGATCACTCATCATGATAACTTATATCATCTGCTCATCATGAATTTAGATAGTCAGTCAGTCAGTTGCAACGTAGAACTTCGTACGTAAGTACATCAGTTCATGTCGCAATACCACATCAGCACAGAGACGTAATTGTCAGTTCAAATCCAATAGTAGAAGAGTTAGTAAGGGTGTTAGAAGTAATCGGAGAGGTTAGGATGAGAAGATATTATTCAAGAAGTATGATTCAGTGAGAAAAGTTTAAAAAGACAAAACTAGAGGTGTTGAAGAATCCAGAAGATTAGCATTTGAGAGAACACAAAGAATAAATGCACCAGCGCCATTGCATACAATTTTGTGCCATGTCATTCAGGGTATCTAACCATCGATTATTATCATCTGTCGGACCCCAACCAACTAGTCGACAATTACCGACATGGCTCAGTCCACTCGTCAATGACTTCATGGATTTCTGTCATGTTTTTGTTTGGCCGCCCCTAACTTTCTTCCAACCTATTCCTACACTACAAAACAAAGCTCTTCGAGGCAGTTAGATACACGAAGAGTAAATCGAGCTGCTTCTTTATTTTGACAAGGTGAAATCAGATTATTAATTTTACTAGGATCCTGTATGCGCGTTTCCGAGTCGCAGCACACATCGATTGAGCAAGATTCTAAGGTCCTAGCTAAAGATGCCTGTTGCCCTATTTGACACAATGTCCGTAGATTAAATGCTCCAACATGTAGTATAGAGCGGGGTTTAAGGAGACCAGGAACGACGTTTCGCGAACTCGTGTCGTCTGCATTAGCTGTGCACTGTGATAAATGAATGTGAGAATGGTTGGTCGTCGAGATAAGAGAGGTACTAGGGGGTGTAGGAAGGATTTGATTTTGACCAATTTGGTCTCGTGTGCTGTTACGGGTATGAGAGCGGTTGTCACTTCCCGGCTGCCCACACCATGGAAGGTTGTTTGTTGAGGAACCTGAAAAGGAAAATAGATTAGTGCTGGTCTTAGAGACCTGGGTGCGTGACCGCAGAGCCCAAGGGACAACTGCTTGGGGCCGGTCATGCATGGCTTTTTTATGAAACGTTTTTTGGGGATTAGCTCCGTTCTTAAAGGCCCTTAGTGGGCACCGTTACCCAAGGAGACGGGAGTCCGTGAGTTAGGGGAGGTGTGACATTTTTAGGGCCGACCTTTTCTAACCCTTCCTTCCTTGTGAGAAGGCAGCATCGCTGCAGATGCTGGTTGCCCGAGGGAAACACCTTACTGCTGTCACACCCCTCTGCAGTCAGCAGTACGACTTCGCCCTCAGACCTTGAGTAGCTGCTTTTAGTCTCATCGTTCTCCAATCGACCAGCCTGGCATGGTAGGACCTGCAGGAACATATGTTCCAGCCAGTATAGCTCGGTTGGGTCATCACGATAGGCAATCCCGACCACCACGTCAAGCTAGCAGCTACGGTCGGGAATTTAGATATTCATTACACGAATAATGATTTGAATAAGATGAAACGAATACCCGATCACACAATTGATTACTGTGTTTCCTTGTTAGTTATATGGTTATATAATAATAATAATAATAATAATAATAATAATAATAATAATAATAATAATAATAATAATGATAAGCACTCACAATTGACACTCATGTAAAAACAGCATTATCCTAAATTACATACACTTCCAATCCACTTTATATTGTTTTAGGTAGTACATATCATGCTATGCTAGTCAAATTAAATCAAATACTTACTAAAAATTTATACAACTCTGTTGAACATTACATGACATTAAAACAACCTACAACTATACCGAATGTGGAAATTCATGGTGAAATTTTTTTATGGAAACAATGGGAACAAGAACGATCAGATCGATCTTTTAAATTAACCCCTGGTGCTTATCCAAGTAAATCTGATTTTATTACAGGAGAAGCAAATGAAGCCCTGATGGAATTATTTGAAAAACATACAGAATTTCTGTATAAAATTTCTTCACGTTATTTTAATCAGACATTTCAAAGCTCTTATATTCGTAGGAAACTATGGAGTATTATACTATTATCCAAATGTAAGTATAATGAATATGTGAATTTTAATTTTTTATATAAATGGGTATGCAGGTGGATGTAACTTCCCGGTTGCCCACACTATGGAAGGGTTCTGGTTGTCAGAAGAGGTATCAGTCTCATGACTTCCGAAGGAACTCGGCTTTCATCATGAGACGTCATAATTCTTCTAAATGAAGACCTTCTAACTCCTAGAGCAGAGTTTATATGGTTTGAATTATTTTTTCTTGTTAGCGTTTTTTTAACGAGTTAGTTTTTTGCGGGATGGGGTCGCCAACCAATATCTTAATCCTCCTCCTTTATTCGGGCTTCGGACCGGCAATAGCCCCCAAGGGTCTACAGGTGGAGTTTTTTCATGTAAATGCAACTCACTAGATATAGATTGTGCTTTGAATATTCAATGATCATAAATTGATTTGTCATGATGAAAGACGGGAAGTGAATAATAGATTAGTCTATCATTAGACAAAGTACTAGAACGTACTTGCTACTTGGTCACCTAACTCAGTTTTGCGACTAATTAATGAAGAACAAAATTAGATCGGCATGAGGGTTTATTAACATACAACATTAGAGCGATCAGTAACTAAGGGATTCAAGTAGTAGCAAAAACTAGGATAGGTTATAATACAAAGTAAGTTTCTTATATTTAGTGTAGTCGGGTATGTCTATATTTTTTCGGGCAGAGTTTTGGAGGGTTTTATGTTTTTACACATTTGAAATCATCAGTCAATCATTGTTAGACCGACATTAGAAACCTGGAAGCACTGAAAGACGGCCGTTTCGTCCTGGTATGGGACTCATCAGCAGTGCGCATCCACAACTCCTGCACCTCGCAGGATTCGAACCCAGGACCTTCAGTATTGCGCGCGAACGCCTAACCATCGGACCACTGAGCCGGCATCCAACTGTCGCACAAAAATCCGTAGATCAATCAGGGTTAGACAATAACACCGTTGGATTCCGGCTCAGTAGTCCAGAGGTTTGGCGTTCGTGCACAATACTGAAGGTCCTGGGTTCGAATTCTGCGAGGTGTAGGAGTCGTGGACGCGCACTGCCATTGATGAGTCCCATACCAGGACGAAACGGCCGTCCAGTGCTTCCAGGTTTCTAATGGTGGTCTAACGATGATTGATTGGTGATTTCAAATGTGTAAGAATAAGTCAACGTTCTCTCACTGACCTATTTTCACTTGACACAAATTTCGATTTTCAAGTTATCAAGTGATAAATCTTTAGTGAATCCCTTCTTTTTTTTAAATTTTTGATTAGGTAAATCTCAAAGATCTAAACTAGAACAAATGATTCAAAATTTCTCTCCTAATCAAGATGAACATATCATGGTAGAATGTAAAAATTTTCTAAACTCTTGTGCTTGTATGTCTTCTATCAAAGATTCAGTTGGTAGATTGAAATTAATAGTATCAACCAATCTTCTTTAGGTTGTTTATATGCAATGAAGTATTTATTAAAGTTTTATCAAAATACAATGACTTCAAGTGAACATATCAAACTTTATTGCATCAAAATTGCTTCCGTACTAGTTTTGGCTATGAAAGATTATTTATCAAAGTAAATTGTACAATGATTTGTGTTGAATTGTTCATGCAGTATTTTAGTCAACTTCTTAAGATTTATATTTGAGTATTTTTTTTTAGATATCTATAGGTAGAACTCACGAGATATTCTTGTGACTTCCACTCCTGTTAGCCAATCAGCATACTGATAGATTTGATTATTGATCACTTGCTCAAAATAATATTCAGACCTAATGTGAAGGATGTTTTGTACAAGGATTATGAGGTGATGCATTTACAGGTTGCCTTTCTGTTAGGATATTCATTCAATATCCTAAGAGAATTATTGGTCAGTTCCTATTGGTTAATTCCTATTGGTCAATTTTATGGTCATCCTAGATGTCAATGTCACTTGCTCCAATGTTGTCTTTTGTCGGTTGTCCTGACTATCAACATCACTCCAAATGTTGCTTCCTATTGGTCGTCTTAACTGTCAATGTCACAGACTTCGATGCTGTTTCCTATTCGACCTAAATGTATAAATACGCATTATCTGCAACGTTTTATGACCAGGATCCTTAGCCTCTCCTGGACTCGGACCTCGTATTTTCTGGATGCTTGTAGAATACAGGTCCTACTTCATATCAAGTCTTCTTATTTAACTCAATATGGGGGTTTGGATAATCGGATTTGAGTAGCATGTCGTGTCGCCGGGTCCTCGATCCTCGCTCTCGTTTTTCCGACTAAGGTATACTCGTAATAGTTCAAGCATATCAAAATCACGTGTTTACGTGCAGGCGTAACACTTTCGTATAGAAAACTTTGATTACGATTGTAAATTTACATTTCACAGTTTCACAAAATATAACTGAAAATAAATCTATAAACATTTTACAGGTTGATCTTCAATTTTTTTTCAATTTTGACTAAATATATATGAATCAAAAACTTGACCATTTATATTTACGTGTTTCTAGCAGAACTTTTCACTAATTTGAAGGCACCCCTAAAAGGACTTTTAAAAACCAAGCGATACAAGACATAAATTTTGTCATAAGTTATGAATTTTCAATAGTGTACACACAAGCCCTAAAAACTGGATTAAACTGAAAATCTTTTAGTGTTATGATAGGTATTATATGACAAAATGGTATCTAATGTTGAGAGTTATACATTGTTTATAATGTCAAACTTGAAATTTTTCCCTCTATATTCAATAGACTGTCTTTAAGTTGAAATAAATAGAGCAGAAATATAGATGGGAGCAAAACTTAACAACTGATCAGCTTAAATAAACTATAGTGACAGCTATTAATCAAGCATTCAATGTATATATATATATATATATATATATTTAAAGTATCTGCACATATTTATCCCTCTTTAAGTTGAATATATGACGACGATACACCGGAGATTTTCAACTAATTAGAAAGAAGTTATTAAATATGCTTCAAAATGTTTTATTCAAATTAACCATCGTATGAGAATCAATGAGGAAATTAAGGTTTAGATGCTGACAAGGTGATTTCTTTTGGATTGTTTCAAATTCCTAAGCTTGAGTGTTGTTAGGTTTCTTTTTGAGTTAAGTAGGAAAACATATCCGCAACCAGAAAGGTAATGTTGTTCTTAACTAATCAATGAGAGTCTAACTGTTGAGGACATTAGATCCGCAGAACTCACTTGATAAAGGTCGTAATTTTGAATTTTATGTTTTCGAGCATAATCTGATCAGTTGACCTTCAGATTACATTTCCGACTTGGAAAATCCTTGAATTTTATTGGTTGATGTACTATTTTAGTACGCTATTTTTGTGGCCCTCCCCGAGGACGTTTCTATGATGTATAAATAAACTCGTTTTGTGTGCTTATGAACCTCAATTTTCTAGGTGCTTGTAGAATACATTTTCTACGTCTTGTCAAGACTTCTTGATCTAGTAAGCAGGGCATGGAACAAACCGATTAGAATAGCCTACCGTGTCACTAAGTCATTGCTCTTCGTCCGTTTACCGAGTAAGGTGAACTCGTATTAGTTTCAAGCATATCAATTGACGAGCATAACACTAACAAATGTTAAAACTTCTTATAACAGTTTTTACATGATTATCAATTAGTGTATGATAGTTGAATCTTGAAATGGCGCTCATTTAAATCTTGAATAGCTTAATTAAATCATATTTGATACACCAGTAAGTGATGCTAGTCGTCAAATTTTTCAAAAGAAATAATTTCCTTACTGTCATTTTAAATGTGCCTTATTCAACTCGAAATATTAATTAAATCATTCAGACTTTATTTAACTTTAATAGAAATTCATCCTTTCCTTAGTTTAAATGTCCTTTTGAAATTAATCGATTTTATTTTTTCTGAAATAAAACCCCTAATCAAGGAATCAACCTCCTAATGTGGAAACTATGAGTGTATTGATTCAAGAATTTTTCGCTTTACTTTCCACATTCCCATCACTTATTACACAATTACCAGAAAGTTGGTCAACTCGTCAATCGTTAGACAAAGTGATCGAATATCAAACTAACAAGACAACAAGTGGATCTAATGAAATCGGTAATAGTCAACGGATTAAATTCAGTCAAAGTGTTTTAAAACAATTACAATGCGTTGATAGTAATATAGCTTCTTCAGTTGTGAAACAAGTGCTATTTGTCAAAGGTAAATAATAATAGTAATAATAATAATAATAATAATAATAATAATAATAATAATGGTTTAATTCAACTATTATGATAATTACTTTTTGATTTTTATTATTATTATTATTATTTTCACTTTTGTCATATTGACAGCCTGTCTTCAAAGCATTGTTCGTATATCCTGGGACAACCGAGTAAGCAACGCTGTTATTAGGAAACGGGTGCTAGGTAAGAATGACAGATCAATAGATGAAGTGGTGAAACTTCATCAGTTGAGGTGGTTGGGACATGTGTTGCGTATGCCTGAGCACCGACTGCCTCTTCGAGCTTTGTTTTGTAGTGTAGGAATAGGTTGGAAGAAAGTTAGGGGCGGTCAAACCAAAACATGGCAGAAATCCATGAAGTCATTGACGAGTGGACTTAGTCATGTCGGTAATTGTCGAATACCTGGTTGGGGTCCGCGAGATGATAATAATCGATGGTTAGAGACCTTGAGTGATATGGCTCAAAATCTTTTGCGAATGGCACCGGTGCATTTATTCTTTGTGTTCTCTCAAATTCTAATCTTCTGAATTCTTCAAACCCTCTAGTTTTGACTTTCTAAATTTTTCTCACTGAATCATACTTCTTGAATAATATCTTCTAATCCTAACCTCTCCAATTACTTCTAATACCTTTCTATCTCTACTACTATTGGATTTGAATTGAAAATTACATCTCTAAGCTGATGTGGTATGGCAACATGAACTGATGTACTTACGTACGAAGTTCTACGTTGCATCTGTCTTACTGACTGACTGATGTCGACAGCCATAATTAAAGCAATTCATACATGTTTCTAGTACTTGATGTTATATCATGGTTTTTCTCTTGCGTAGTTCATTCATCACTGAATTTATAAGTACAAAAATTGTAATTAGTGGATTAAATGACCTTCAAATGCCATGGTGTACCGCCGAGAGCTGGTGGTGTCCATTCTACCACTTGAAAAGCTCTCATACCGCACATATATAAATAATAAATAACCAATGCCAGGAAAATCCTACTTACTGCCTTTTCTAGACGTGGATGTTGTTTACAAAATTGACAGGACGAAGGGTGAGTTTCTGATGCTTTAATTGGATTTTTCGGTAACAGGTGACCTACCTAGGGAAGTTGAAACACCCCTGATTTCGAACCAATGAACTCTAGAATCCTGATAGAATGAATGACTTATGAACCTATTGTCGATCAGGAGCTAACATGGAACTATGAATCCTGATGTTGCTCTGCTGCCTTGTGGACTAAATCTCTTAATCAAGAACTTGGGGAAAATGTCTTCCTTAGAAAAACCACCTTCTTCGGCTTAGGCACCTAGGCAGTACCATAGTCCACAAATTAAACAAATGATAACTATAACCGGGACAGTTTTTGATTGCTTCAACCTCCATTCTCACAAATCTTACTTGCAATTATTTGATCACGTTAGCTTTTATTTGTCATCTGTTTATTCACTTATTCCTATTTTGGTTATGCTTTACTCTTCCACTCACACAACAGTTTGCCTAAAATGGAAATTTTATCTTGTCTAAGTAATAACAAGCCACTCATTTTTCAAAATATGAATGCTACCACCAAGCACAAATTCTGAAGCAGCCTTTCTGAAACCATATATGATATTCAAACTGGCCTGCCTCGACGTTCGCACACTAATGCAGGTCATACAACAGGTAGTGTCTTTAAGAAGTTTTAAAAACGGTTTCTGTGACGCGCTACACACTTGCTCTCCATCTGCTGTTTTAAGAGGCGTATTTCGCGTGCGTTTATCCGACGACAATGGCATCTTCGTCTAGTATTGCTGGCCTTGGTGTCGCCCTAAGTGCCAGAGACGAGGCGGTGCCAGTCGATTGGTACAGCTTATGTTGATGTAGGTAATAGTGGTGCCGATCTGTTACCTAGAGAAAGACTTTTCGACATTGAGTGTGAGGATTATATTGTTTTACTGTGCTATGATTCTCAAGCCATGCAATCCTCACTTAATCAGTTGGTAATCAGTGCCTGTAGGTTTAGCATGAGCTTTGCACCTAAGTGCAAAGTAGTTTTACAAGACTAACAAAGCCCTGGACCTGCACTCACTTTTGTTATTGAGCAAATAAAAGTGATGGAAAAGTTCGTGCAGATGGGTAAACGCTGGTGGTGGTGTGAGTGATGAGATCAATACACGTATAGTAAAAGCCAGAGCGGCTTATGCCTATCTAGACCAACTTTGAAGTCTTCTTCATGACTTTAAAAGGTCGGATATACAACGCATCAGTAATAGCAGTTTGCCTTTTGCTTGTGAAACCTGACCTACCCTAGTTGAGGATGTTAAGCGATCCTCTGTGTTTGATCGTCGTTGTCTTTTAAGGAGTGTGGATATTCGAAGACGACACCATGTTAGTAATGCGGAAGTTCAACAATGTGTTTTCGAGCACAGCGACGCTAATTCCATTGGTGTTACCATTTCGAATCAAGAAATTCGATGGCTTAACCATGTACTACTAATATAATCTCAGCGAATTCCTTATAGTGAACTGGTTGGAGAAAGTTCAGAGATGGTCAGTGTATAACATGGTTTCGTGGTACCAATGGTCGATATTCATGACTGGCTTCTATTGGTCCTTCACGACACCCTGGTTGGGGTCCTAGGGGTGTTTAAACTAAAAAGGCTTGAGACGAGACATGACTCGGAATAGAAGCTACTAGCATTCTTACTGTAACTTTTGTCTTCTTCATATAGGCAAAAGTAACATCTTTAACTGAAAGGATTCTTTCAATTTGTGTTTTCCTTAACTGAATGGTTTCTACTACTATTATTACCATCCTTTCACTCTCATGTACTAATTCCCATCCATTTTTTAAAATTTATTCTCACTGTTCTTTCCTTCTCTCTCTTTACAACCTCATTTTTATTGTATGGCGACTTTATTGATGTTGCACATAAAATGACAAATGTGTGAAACATTTTATTGATTTACATAAAATCATTGGATATGCTGAAAATTCCAATGACATTACTTCATCCTGTAATTGTTCTTTGTTCCTGCTTTACACAATTGAACTAATTACATGAAAAATGCTTCATATACACTAAGCGGTATTTAAATAGTGTTCCATATAACTTTTGTTTAATTCTGATGTGACTGCCAGTCATGTCTACAGACAACAGGTAGAGAAAACACAAATAATCGTGATAAGGATTCTCGAATTAAATCAAAATAATTTATCAATATCTTCCATTTACAGTCTGATCGATATTCACATTTGAATGAATTAAACCGACTGGCTATCTGGACTCAGGAGCTAAGTGGATACCGTATTGGTGTTTGAAGCTTAAGGTACTAGGTTCTAGTCCTGTGGTGAACATCAACTCTGAAATTCAAATACATCCAGCTGACGAGTATCAAATGGAATGAAACCCGCATCCTAGATTCCACTGCTAGCCACCATCTACCCCTGCTAATAAAATGATTACTATTGAATATCACTTACTTTGTGGACACACATCATATCGTAAAATTAAGCATCTATAACCGACAGATATTGATTCAGTTACATGACTGCTCCTTCTCAAGATGTGAGTTACGTATCACAAATGATCAATTTCACATGTCACTTGAACTCCAGTCGATTAAATCATTACCCACCATATGAGATTGTCTCTCCTATTTCATGTGGCTCCCTCTTTACACATGGCTCAATTTCACTTCAGACATTAAGAAATGATCAACAAGTATTTCTATATTTGTGTTCCACTACAGTATGATAAATATTGATGTCGATAAATATTGATTTATTGCAGATATTGATATCATATCGAATTTAACAACTGAAGAAGATATTTGTTCAGAAGTCTTCTATACATTTATCAAACCAATTGTGAGATCTGTTTTCATTGGTAAGTTCAACTATTCTTTTTTTCCACTAAATGCTGCGAAAAACGAACATAATGATATAAAGACATCTTAATTTATTCCTGTTTATTTAGTAAAAATAAAAAATTTTCAATAAAGAATATAAAATATCAAACGAAATTTACCTTTCATTTTTACCGAATTAGATTCCAAAAAAACAGTCATTCATTCTCTAGTTCACTCTGTTCTGGGCTTGCCTTCCTAATTCTGTCCAATTTTTGTTCGTTCTTCTCATGTCTGTCTACATTTCTCGGCGTAATGTTTTCGTTAGCCTTCCACTTTTCCCGTGACCGATTCTAAATGAGGGCTTGTCTAGAGACTCAGTTGGATGATTTCCGCAATCTATCCTAATCAACTCCAGCGCTTTATCATAATTTTTTCTTCCACTGGAATCTGGTTTGTTCTATCTCACAGTAGGTTGTTGCGTATGGTATCTGGTCAACGAATCCGAAGTATTTTCCGTAGATTACTGTTAATAAATACTTGTATCGCTGTTCATCGTTCTCCGAGTTTCGGCCCCATTTAGTAGAATTGTCTTGACATTCGTATTGATAATTTTAATCCTGGTGTAGGTTGATAGTCGTTTGGAGTTCCAGATGTTCTTCAGTTGTAGAAATGCTGTCCTTGCTTTGCCGATCCTTGCCTTCACATCTGCATCAGATCCACCTTGCTCGTCAGTGATGCTGCCTAGCTATGTAAAGGTTTTTACGTCCTCCAAGGCATCTTCATCAAGACTGAAGCAAGACTCTGGTTTTATTTGGGGAAGTATAATTGGCTTCGAGCCGTTATTAAACGCAAGTACTGCTGATACTAACCGACTACCCAAACCGAAGAGATGTAGGGTTCAAATCAATGATTTAGCGACCGTAAATTGAATGTCTTAATCATTGACCCACTGCTCTTCGCAGTTACCAGTAATAAACTTAATTAGACTCTTAGAATGAGAGATACAATTTCCCAAGAATGTTGTTTAGTTGAACACACATGTATTCTAGGCAATTTAATGGCCAACTTTTTATATACCTGGAAAGCTGTGTTATAAAAAATTAATATGTAATTTTTACATAACCAACTGTGCTTCATTAAACCACCGTAGAAAATGCAATGAAAAAATTCTATCACCTTAACTAAACCCTATACTGGCGATAATTAAGTGATTCACTAGTGACTAGCCTCAGAATATAATTCCAGAAGTTCCAGTAAAAAAAGTCATGACTAATGGAGTTTAACGGCATTGGATATGAGATGGTCGCCCAGTGTTCTGAAGCTATTGAGGTTAAGTGTCTACAACATTAGATGTCATTTTAATGGTTTAGAGGTTAAGCGTTCGTGCGAAGCCGATTATCATGGATTTCATTCTCTCTAACAAGATCGTGTATGCATGTTTGTTTAAGAAATGGAAATTCAATTTTTACGTCTATTTCCATTTGTAATACTGTTAGGATATTCATTAAATATCCTAAGAGAATTATTTTTGTAAATCTAATTCTATTGGTCAATTACTACTCGTCAATATTATGGTCGTCCTGAATATTAATCTCACTTCGAATGTTGTTTCCCATTGGTGGTCGTCCTAACTGCCAATGTCACAGACTTTAATGTTGTTCCCTATTCGACGTAACTGTATGAATACGGATTATTTGTTACGTTTTATGACCCGGACCCATATCCCTAGTCCTGGGTCCTGATTCTCTTCTGGACTCGGACCTCGTACTTTCTGGATGCTTGTAGAATACAGGTTCTACTTCAGATCAACTCTTCTTCTTTTACTCAATGGGGTTTGGGACTATTGGATTAGAGTAGCATGTCGTGTCGCCAGATGCTCGATCCTCGCTCTCGTTTACTGACTAAGGTAAACTCTTAATAGATCAAGCCCATCAAATGACGTGTTTACGTGCACTCGTAACAAGTACAACCAATTCAGGATTCAAAAACTATGATCAATCTTGTTGATCTCTATGAAACCTCACACTAAGAATAATTTATGATTAAATATGTATCATACTCAGGCAATATATTATTTATACTTTTGACTAATATTCTCTGTTCGTATTTAATTTACCAAATATTTTCGAACTCTGTTTTCTTTTTAGGTTATCTATCTCAATCAACTTTATTGTATATATGGGATCAATTAATGTTGTGTATTGTTGGTGCTGAACCGATCCAATCGAATTTCTTACATATTTTAAGTTGTTTCATAGCTATTTTCATTTTTCTATGCTGGATAAGAATTCCTGCTCATTTAATGTCTGATATAAGCCAATGCGATCAGAACAATGAAGTCAGTGCGAGAATAGAATTAAGTAAGAAAGAAATAAGTTTATTACATGAACAATTCCTTAGGATTGGTTCAGAATTACAAATTGCTGATTTCCAATTTTTAGTAAGTATAGCATATATACTCTAAAAGAAAATGAAATCCTATTTGTGTAGACTGAAGTCAGTAAATTTTATTGAAAAATGAATTTAGCCTAATTGTTGTTTAGGGACGCTAATAAACCTCTCCACTCTCAACCCTGATTACCACAATACAATTGTAAGTGTGCACTAAAACGCTTTCAATTGTTTTCAGTAAAAATTACTGCTCACTCCTTGAAAGTGGCTTTTATAAGCAAAGGCATCAGAGAGAGATGTTTCGGCAAGCAATTCGATTTATTAACGAACAATCTGTGAAAATTCTAGTGCTATTTTCACTACTCAAACTTACGTCGCACGTTAAAATGAAATTTTGTCACCATACGTAGAAGGACTCAAATTAAAGACTAATTTACTCGAAATCTATATACTTAACTTAGATATAAAATTTTTTTCTAATTGAATAAGGCAAACTTGTAATTCAAAAGTTAAAATTATTATTCCGAGTGATAGTCACCAATCGATAAACATCAAGTTCCGAATTTTGAATAGAAACATCAAGACAGCTCTTACTATATGAGGTGGAAACTTGGAGAGTCACGAGAGTCGTCATCCACAAGATACAATTGTTTATCAACAGTTGTCGACGCAAAATACATCTAATCCACTGGCCAGATACCATCAGAAACAACCTACTATGGAAGAGAACAAACCCAGACTCTAGGAGAAGAAGAAATTAGGAAAAAGTACCGGAGATGGATAAGACACACACATTATAGAAAGCACCCTGACTGCGTCACAAGACAAGACCTCATATGGAATACTCAAGGTCAAAGAAGTAGAGGAAGACCAAAGAACACATGACAATGAAAACTGAAATCAAACATGCAAAGAATGAGCAACAGTTGGATAGAACTGGAAATGAATATCTTGGACAGAGTAGGTTGGAGAATTCTGGTCGGTGGCCTATGCTCCATTTGGAGGTAACAGGCTTAAGTAAGTAAGTAAGTAAGTAACGAATGGTTACGAATCAGGTGAAAGAAATATTTTTTTGGCTTTATCAGTAAATTTAAAATCACAGTCAAAACTTCTGTCATATTTACAACGATTAATATAAACTTTATGAATTGTGATTTACGGCTAGTACGATGAAACTTTTAATCAATGAAATCTAAGCAAAATGAAGCTGTCTTTGTGGTTTCAATGTATGAAACCAAAAAGAATTCAGTAAAAGTGTTTCTTTTATCCATTTTCGGCTACATTTTAAGTTGTTTACAGACTAGATAATGCCAACAGATCATTTAAACAAGAAGTAATTAGATTAGAGACTAACTGACTGAATATGGAATGCTTAAAACCTTAGACTATTAATTCATGGAAAAAGATGTTACAGTTTTAGCAAACTGGATGGTTGAAGGCATTCGAACTGAAATCATCAACTTTGATCTTGTGCAGGTTGAGACTTGTCCACCAGAGACATACCTACAACTTTCACACTACTGATACTCTTCTGTGAGTCTGAATGTTAGATCAGTCGGTTTTTGTAGTTCTCTTGTTGAGTCACTGAGTAATCGTTGATACGATCAATATTCAGTAAGATTTTTAACCGTATAGTGGAAAGTTCATTTTACAAATATTTTAGAAAAGAATAGTAAACTACCTAATCGATCATACATTTTGTAAGTTGCTATAAATTAACAAATGTGAAGGCCATAAATTATTATTACTTAGATGAATGTGCATAGAAATCTTAAAACTGTGTTTTCGCTTTTCAAGCTACTTATATGAAAGATTTCTATTGTGAAAATTAGAACAACACAGATATAAGCGAACAATGTTATTGTTTTCAATTAGATTGTCATCAGCCTTTTACTCTCTAATATACATGAATATTTCAAATGAAGATGTTAAACCAACCAAGGCAATTTGAGTCAATAATCACAATAAAATGAAAAAGATTACGTCACTCTACACATAATAGGCAAAAGTAAAAGTTGATAATAGTTTAGTGAACGATAACACAGGTGGGGCAACCGGTTTGTGTTTAACGAAAATTACACAGTTACTCAGTAAAATAGGAAAACCATATCGTAAATCGTTCATTTGCAAAATATCAGTTCATCATATCGAACTGAACTGTTCCTGTTGCAAAACATCAATTCTTTGTCACTATTCATGCGTTTCATACAAATTCCATTGTGTTCTAACTCTTCCTTTCTTGATCTTTCCCCATCTTCTGCTGCCAGACATTACGTTGACACTCACGTCATATACTACTTATAAGTAGCTCGCACCACAATAGTAGTAGGAATAAAAGTTTTATCAATGGTAGGTCAAACGTGGATAAATAGACTTAAATTAATCATTAATGTATAGCTTCTGTTATGTGTAGAAGACAGGATCGAACACCGTTGGGAAATGATCGAGGTATACAATAGATCAAGCAACTGTTATAGTCATAACAACTTGAAAACAACTTCAGTGGGAAATGAACAATGGCATTTCAAGAACACAACAAAAAACCGGGATATGAACTCCGCAAATTGTTATAAATTCAAGCTATCTATATATGTTGATAGAATACTAAAAATGTATACCATAATAAATATTTTCTCGATAAATCCACCTTTCTAATGGTGGTCTAATAACACTATTCTCCGTAACTCTAATTAAGAATTTAGTTTATTATAATATTTGAAAATAAATCTGAGACATATTTCATCATTTTTACTATTGTAACATTACAGATAAAGAAATATTTTTTCATGGATATATTCTGTCTGTTAACTGGTACACAACAACAATACAACATCAACAATGATCATCTTGTATCGAATGATGAACTCCTATGTAAGGGGTGAATAATTAAAATTCATTCTAAATTATCTCATTATTTTGTGAACATTTTGTCATGAATTAATTTAAACTAAGCAAATATTCGATTTTATAAAATGTGACACATTTAAAAATAGAGGGCTTAAAAATGTACTCAGAGAAACTTCTTTGCTACAATGATCTAAAAGGTTCTTGATGATGATTGGATGACAATTGATTTTAATCATTTGGGCTTTACAATACAAATCTCTAGATCAATCAGAGTTAAACACTAACACCGTTGGATGCTAGTCCAGTAGTCTAGAAGTTAGGCGTTCGCTCACAAGACCGAAGGTCATGGTTTTGAATCCTGCGAGGTGCAGAAGTTGTGGATGCGCACTGCCACACTGATGAGTCCCATACCAGGATGAAACGGCCGTCTTTCAATGCTTCCAGGTTTCTAATGGTGGTCTAACAATGATCGATTGATGGTTTTAAACTTGTAAAAAACACTCATCTTCATAACTCTAATTGACAATGAATATTGTTACAAATAGTCAACATGAGTGGTTGTGCAAATATGTCGAAGTCACATGATATGTCTCAGCCCGTGGATAAATTAATTTGTCCATTCTGCTGCTATAATTCTCATGTCTTTTGACCTGGTCTTATAACCTTGGTTGTTTTTATTTTAATGCATGCTTAATTTATTTATTACACGTCTAGTTTACTGATTATAAATCCTTAGTCATGCCTCACTGCATTGAGTTCGTTCACTCCCTTTCTCCACTTCTCCTCGATTTGTTTGTACACTTTATATTCTTATGTCTACCTGCGTAAACGATTGCTTGAAATAAACTCATCCAACTGAATCTTTATTTGGCTTCTTATTGTCACTGCCACACAAACATGGTTCACGTACGTCTGAAATACAGAAAAGGAAAGGGAAATTTATTTCATTGCATATTCAATCATTCGGCTTAATTTGGAGTAAGATCGCAGGCCATTAAACTAGAAATTTCTTTTGTAAACTATGTTGGGGACGTTAGACGCCCCGAACTCATTTGGTAAAAGTCTTAATTTTGGATTTTATGTTTTAACATATGGGCTGATCAGTTGACCTTGAGATTACATTTTCCACCAGGAAAATCCTTGACTATGATTGGTTGATGTATTATTTTAGTACGCTATTTTTGTGGCTCTCCCAAGGATGTTTCTATCATGTATAAGTAAACTCCATTTTTTGTGCTTGTCAACCTCATATTTTCTAGGTGCTTGTAGAATACACTTTCTACGTCTTGTCAAGACTTCTTGATCTACTTAGTGGGGTCTTTGGGCTCCCGAATTTTAGTAGCCTATCGGGTCACTGGATCATTGGTCTTCGTTCTCGTTTACCGACTATGGTGAACTCGTAATAGTTTCAAGCATATCAATCGACGATCATCACAAACTACTACTATACAATTGCTATTCTTCTTCACTAGAATATATCTTGTTACTTTTCTAGTCTGTCACATATCCTGTAGAGGTGTAATGGTCAAAATATACTGGAAAAAGGTGAATATAACAAGCTAGTACATATACTAATTATATGTTCACCAACGTTTACTTTGCACAGTATTTATGACAATTAATTCAACTACTAACATTTTTCCAACTCAAACAACTTTTTCTTGTCAATTTTCAGTGACATCAACTGAATGGTCATCAATTTTCCAGAAATCCTGTTTAATAGATCCAAGTAAACGGAAAGAACAAAGATTATTACGTTTTGCTGAGTTAGAAAGGCAAGTTTCAAATATACAAAAGCTCACACACACACACAAAAAAGCTAATTAAGTTTCAAATAAAATATGCCTCAGTTAATACCTATTACATTGATAGATAGTAAAGTCACCTGGACAAAGACACAATTCTGCCTTGTTCTTCATTAAATAAAGATTTAAACATTGTACATTGAATTGACAATTGAATTTGAACTATGTTCATGATTAAGAAATAAACTTTCTACCATAATGAACTAAAGGTTACGCAGAAATATAATAAAGAAAAACTATGAATATAAAAAATGATAATTAATTATATTTGTTAAGGTTCTTTCTATGCCAGGTTTTTAGAAGTATCCATTAATAATACTAGAATTTGCATTACCAGGGTTGTGAAGATTGTTAAGTTACACATTTTTGAAACCATGAATCGATCAATGTTAGACCA